TGCGTCTAACACAGTACTACTTTATTTGTAAACGAAAACCGTAATATTTGTTATACATTATTTGTATATACAAATATTTTGTGATAATTTTTCAGTGTATAATCTACGGTAGATAGAAGTCCAACGATGTGGTCTTAAGTGTCAAGCAACTGTACGTGCTACGAGTCAAAACTCTCATTTCAAAGTCCTCTTCGCGTATTCTTACTCGACGGAACAATTTAACGAGAACAACAATGAACACAAAATTACGTGTACGGCTTGTAAATAATAAATCACTTATGTCAGTCTGCAGTTTTGAACTAACACACAAGACGTCATTTAATGACAGGCCAGATGACGATGGTGCATTACCGTCAAAAACAACATGAATTTTGGGCAAATTTCCGTCTTATTTTACCATTGCTTGGTGTAGGATTAAATATTCTGCTAGTTCTGTAGCGGTTTCCAGTGGTATATAAACATTTTTAAATTTGCGTTACGCTTTGTATAAATATAAATTTTTGGTAAGACATTGTTTAAGACAATTTAGTCTTTTGTTAGCTAAATTACGAAATTCAACGAGTCCAAGTTGTCTGCCGGTTAGACTGAATCTACTATTACCTATCCCTAATAGTTGTTATGATTACCACCGGCAGTCTATCCAGAGGATTAAACAATATATTTTTTGCTGTTAATACTAATTATAATAATAAATTTACATAAATTTTTATAATTAGGTGGGAGTCCTCGTACTCAAGTTCATATTTTACAACAACTTTCAAATAATATTTATATAAAGAAAACAAAAACTATAATCCGATCCGATCTGCTAGTTGTCCATTTCAGTTCGTCCTTGACTCCGCCAATTGATGACCACTGCAATATAATAAAAATAACACCACAATGGCCATTGGTGTCAAAAAATCCAAGTGGTTGTTGAAAATTTAATCAGTTTGGTTAAGCACACACTACTTCCCAAAATCATAAAACACAAGAGTAATTTGAAAAAATAATATTAGACTGTCGAATGTGTTGTCTTTTGTATCATCGATACGTCTAATTATGGTAAAGAAAAAAACCAGCAACAGACGAAAAAGTACTCAAATTCTGCATGTACTTTACGCAGTGTAAAAAAAAAACAAAAACACCGATTCCGACACACACAACATCATCATGGTAACTAACTGGGTTTCCAACAGACGCCGTCGCTACTCGGCGCCGGAAATGTTGGTGACGGAAACAGCTGATAAGAACCAGTTGTCGCCTGCCATCTCCATCACGCCTTATTTCCTGACTGAAACAGTATGTGTCAAATGTGGAGGTTAGACCGCGTGTGTGTATGATTTCCGCCTTTGGACATACAGCCAACAACATATCAATCGTACGGGTGTGCAATGTAGGAATCGGCGAAGAACAAGTCGTGATACTGCTCACCTACCTTCGGTGGTAATCGCATGGGTGGTATGATTTTTGTATTTTTGATAAAACTATCAAATATGTTAAGACTGATTCTAATGCACAGTGTGATATAAAAGTGAATTTTAAACTGACTTTTATGTGATTTACGTGGTTTTTGCCAAGCCCTACTATCTCGGAGAGGCATTTACGATGCGGTAAGCCAAGACGCGATAAACACTCTGACGTAATCAATGATATTTGAAACCTACTATCTAATAACACACGCACACGTTGGTAAGTAGACGACACAGATTGATCCATGTGCAAAATGATACAGTGTTTTTACTCGCCGAGTTTAAAGTGCATGGCGATTTAACATGATTTAGGTTAAGATACGAAAAACATAATTTATGTGCCAATCATATCACGATTTTTCCGACAATTTTTTTTTTAAAGGTATAGAACCGATAAAAAGTATGAGAACTTTTTGACAATAAGAACACTTATTTTTATTTTGAATAGTAGGCTCAAAATTAATGGACGAGACGTTAAATTTAAATTTTTTGTATTTATTCTGCACGAAAATAAAATACTAGACACCATTGGCAAGGACAATCATCGAAATTAGTGGGGTATGAATAATCGCAAGGGCGAAAATAATGTAACGACGCATTAAAGTGCACTATGAACAATGATGAGACGTTAATTTACGATTCATCTATGTGCTAACATTTGACATTAAACCATTTGACAAGGTCCAAAATGATGGTGACAAACGTAAAGACTTTGACTGAAAAGATTTGTATGTTAATGCCATATATGATGTCCGTATGTGGCACTGAGAGATGGCCAAGAAGTTTGTCTCTCGCCTTCTAACATCCGTTGGCAACGTTAGCGGATTTACCAAATTAATATAAAATTTATTGAAAGTGCCTTTTAATAGATGCATATTAAACATACGCATAGTTTCTCATGCTTTATATTTTCTAAAATTTATTGTTCTTCATTTTTAAAAATAAAAAATAATAAAAAGAAACACCAGTACAATGGTATCACTGCATAGTTGAGACAACTATAGATTAATACTGACAATAATCAGATATTATCTTATTGAAGGACGTATGCATACATTTTTCATTGCGGGTAAAATATTTTTTTAAATATTTGGTTTCACTATCAGCTCAATAGAACTAATGTTTAAGAAAAGAGGGGTGACCTCAGAAATTCATGATCCTATCTTATAAATGAAATTAATTGGATTTATACACAACATTTAAGTTCGATTTGTGTTCTATATTTAAATCACCAAAGTAACGAGAATTAGAAACATTTTATTTGGCCAATGGTAAAAATAAAAATAAGTTATTCTTTTTATTTTATTTTTGTTTTTTATAATAATATTATTACGGGTTTTCTGGGAAATTTTTCTACAAATGAATGCAGAAAAAAAAGTTTATTTTATTAAAAATTTACCTTATAAAATAGGAAATCATCATCTTTACAGTATCATATAAATATCAATATGTTCAGCAATATTGTTCATAAGTTATGAGTTTTTTACGTGTCTAATGATTTTATTTCCTGACTTAATATAGTTTTTAATTATATAACATATAACGTATTTAATTATTGTAGCACAAAACGAAAAACAATTTTTTCTTGAGTCATATTATTCAATTGTAGCCATAGATTATATGTCAATCAATCTATCAAAAAGGCCTATCAAAAATTTATGTTTAAAACATTTTTTTGATCGACGCTCGTTATTAATCGTATCACATGTACATAAATAAGTAATTAGGGTAAGGTATATCATCACTACTACCCTTATGCAGATCACACGATTAATATATGGTCGCCACTATTCTTTGATATTTTAGTATGCTATCCTCGTTTCTGTATAAAAAGAATACAATATTACCTGTCAACTAATCTATATGCGTAGAAAACTTTGAAACATAGTTAAAATTTATTATATATATTCGATCTTATTTGCATTTAAATTTCAGCCATGCAGAATAAGAATAGGATAAAGGAAATGAGAACTATGATAGGTATATTAAAAACACTATTTTTTACACAACAACATTTTTTTAATGGTTTTTTCTTTTATTCATAATATATTATGTTTAGCTTTTATTCGCTATAATAACTTAATTATCATAATTTATTTCATCACTATATTTATGTACCTTAGTAACATTAACAATTACATATTGATACCTACACACAAGTCGGTTTGTTTTATAATATAATAATTATACAGTATAAATAACCTTTTAGCAACAATCTAACTAATATTAACTTAATTTTTCTATGTTTTTTTTAATTATTTTTTTATTATAAGGGGTTTAAAAACTTTTCGTTAATATGTATACTGTATATACTTTTATACATTTAATGGAATAAATAAATACATACACGTGTAGCTTATATATAGTTTTTTACATCAATGATTTGTTAACTGATATTTAAGTTCAATTATTATTATCATTATGCATACACATTTTCGCGAAATTATATGTACAATCGAATATAATTCACAAACACAGTTTCGTACATTGCATTTATATGCATACACACAAACAATAATATTTACATTTTTATCATATAATATTTATAAAGGTATTTCGCCAATATTTTTATTACATAGTATTATAATTTGTTGTATTGTTTGATTCTACATGTTATTTATTCATACTTATAAACAATGTCCTACAATGTTACACTTACATACATATATATATTTATCATTATCCTTATGATACATTACACAATATTTATAGTACAGCAAATAACTTGATACAATATGATTAGTGCTGCGATGGTGTTCTGGTAAAAACAATTTTGTGTGTATATATTACAACATTATATATACACGTATATATTTCTATGTAAAACATTTTATATTATTAAATAATTAATAGCTAATAAACATTTGCAATAATTCAAGATGGAATGTACGTTTTAAATAATTAATTTGTTGTTCATTACAAATAAGAACGAGAACACAACATTATTTATCACATATGAGATCTCGCGGTTAACCTATATGTTTCTATGTGTTTACAACGCACTATAGGCGTACCCATACTAAGATAGTTATTTATTATCATTATCCATATATATTTATTATTAATTTTATAAAAAAAATGAATTCATCAGATTCGATATGAACACCCTGATTGTGTACCACAAAATAGTTTTTACATCATTAACCGGTAATTAAAAACAGGAAGCTAATTTTTATTTTGCACATGAAAGAGCTGTACGACTATAAAACAAAAAATGGGTTCTTTAAAAATATTAAGGTAAATTTCGAAGATATTCATCAATGTAATTAATTTATCATTTCAGATTTATTCTCTTTTTAACAGGTTCATATTTATAACATATAATTATATTCCGTACACAAAATAGGTACTCACACAACATATATAATGTATTACAATAATAATATATATTTGTATAATATATTAATCCTAAAACACTAACAACTAATGATTTTACCGTTATTTTTATTAAAACTTTTACGTTTTTAACTTCAATACTCAATATTTATCATAATACTTCAACGTCGTAATTATATGGTGCAAAATTAACCTAAGGAATAATATACATCGTTTTTTTTTTTTTTTTTGTAATTCAGTATTTTATTAATAGTTATGACTTAGCTCGTCTGGTAAATAAACCAGATTACTTACACGCTACAGGCTTATAATTAAGCTTTGGTTAATCCTAAGATCGTTTAATTAATCTTTTAGGTATATTTTTTTTTTATTTATTTACACAATCTTAGATGAATATAATTTTTTTTTTTTTTAGCATAATTTAATAATTAACTTATATTAAATTAATATTATTATAATGAAGCTACACGGCGGTGTTAATATTATCATTTCCCCTTTAAAAAAATTATTTGCGATTTAGTTAATTTTTTTATTACAAACATTTCAATATATAAATCATATACAATATGATTTTTCAAAATTATTTTTACTTAAGCTAATCAAAATATAATTCATCCTAGGGAGGAAGGGAGGGTTATTAAAAACAGCAGCACATTACTGAGTGCTGCCAAAAATTCTAGATCTGGTGGATGTAAGTAGTGCGGAGTGAGTGTATACCGTCGAGCACAGGAAATTATTTTAAAATAAAACAATATAGAGTTTTTGAAAAATAATTGTAATATTTTTGGTAAGGACTTATCTATACTTGTATAATAGTTTCACTAACACAGTAGTCGTGTCAGAAGGGTAGCAATTAACTTTTTATATTCATAAAAAATAATGGACAAACATAACACAACATAATAATATAATGTATTCTAATGATAACGCTCTATAAAATAAAAACAGCTCGATTTAAATAATTATTTTTCTTTTTTAATTTATCATATAAATAGGTATTTACAAAAGTTGGCTAGCTGTAGCAAAACGTAGCAGGTCTGATTTATTGCGAATTAAAAGTACATCGTGCTTTATAAGGGCTAGGTATGAGTTTGTTATTCCGAACAAACGATTCAATAATAAACTAATAACATAGGTAGATAGGATTTATCGAGTGAATAATATTTATTTATTCTAATGTATTGTGTTTTTTTTCTGGAGCCGTACGAATATGAAATCGGCTCAAACGCGCGGAAATGAAAATAAAAACAAAACGGAAAACATTACCTTAAGTATATATAATATATATTTTAATGAAAAATATATGTTTAATTTCGTATAAAAATGGTTTGGCGATCGATACCCTACATTTTTTAACAACTATATAATTCTCATATACATCATCATATTCGTTGAGCATAAAAGCGCAATAATATTATTTTAATTTATTTTCAATTACCGTTTACACTAAACAATAATTACTAATATTACTATTTCATTTCGTTTTAAATATTTTTTCGTTTAATAATCGATTTTTATCACAATTCTTCATCACTTGTGTCGATGATATGTTAAGTTTTTTTTTTCCTATATACTTGATTATACCGATCAATTTAAAACCGAATGCGTGACCCATTGAGAATACGTATGATACACGAATAATATTATAAATTCAACATAACTAATATATTTATAATGGTTAGAATAATTTTTCATATTTTAATAATAAATAAATTTTAGTTTTGCGCCCGATGATTTATTTACAATTTTGATGGGTACGTCATAGAACGCTCAGGATATTGTGATTTTGATTGGCTTGTACGTAGCAGAAGGTGGATGAGTTTGGAAGAATAATCGTATCGCGTTTTTGGGCTCCAGAATTCAGTGATCCTCAAACCAGCAAGCTCGGCGTAAGCCACTCTTCGTCGGCTATCTGCAAACCACATCATTGCCCGTTTATTTCATTTATAGTATTGTATATATTAATGTTTTTTTTTTTGGGCGTATGCCGTTCACTGTCAGATTATGGAATTGTTAGACCGGTCATCCAGTGACCACTAAGTCAATTACGACGGTGATTATTCATACAACAATTTCCGATTTTTCGACAGTGACGACGGCCAAACGCATTTGTGTGTTTTCAGATTTGATATGGCCGACAAGAGACTAGAGACATGCTGAGAACTGAATTTCATTTGAATAAATATTAATTAAACTTATTGTTATTGTGCCTAAATTATCGAGAGTGTGAATCAATTTCCTGTGCAAACCTAAACACACTCAAATGCGTCCACGAATTAATATTACATTTTTTGGGAAAAAAAAAATTGAAATTAACTAAACGTGTCGGGTACAACGGTGGAAGTTTCGTTAAAAAATAATAATTGTCTAAATAATAAACTAAAAATTTAAACTAATAAAATTTATAATAAACGATTAAAATAATAATAGTGTAGTTGTTCAACAAAGTATTTTACGTATTGGGTGTTTTTTCAGTGTTAAATGGCTTTAAGAAAGCGTTTGAAAATTCAAATATTGTGCTCCGCCAAAGTACATTTTTTCTCACAAAAAACAAACGAAAAGGTGATTGGTTTTCTTAATGGATTTACTACCCAGGAAAATACTCCCTCAGCATTTTTCAAACTTATGCGTACTCTGTTATAAGTTTATTGACAGTACTTTTACTATCTACACTTCTGTTTTTGACACGTACGTAACGTTCCGCTATCTAAAATAACTTTTTGGAGCTTATTCGGGGGAAGGACAAACAATCCTACGCACTTATACTGAGAATTGAATTTGTACAAAAAATATGTCTATTTAAAAATAATTATTTTTCCCTAAACTAAAACATATCAATATCCTGTTTTTACAATAATTCGCTAAACTTTGGTTTCTGGTTTACGCGTGCAGTGTTACAAAACATTGGAACAAAAAATAATACAACGTTGTGCAAAGGGGACATTCTCGATATTTCTCTACATAGTTAATAAGTTTATTGTTGTTGTTATGTTCATCGTCCTGTTTTAATTGCTTTTGCGATCGGTATGTTATAAATATATTTGTTATACCATCGCAAATGTTTCATTTTTATAAATTATGGTCATGATAATGATTACAATAAGTCATATGACAAGTTGTATGAATTGTTGTCGAGTAGTTCGAGGGATCACGATGTCGCCATTTTCAAAATGGAAAGCTCGTTGGTTTCATACCCGTGATGCTCGTACATGCCCCAGGGCATCGGTGGATGTTTTACCTGAAACTGGTGCAGCGTCGGATAGGCCGGAATCATAGCAGCAGCTGCTGGTGGCGGTGCGGGTGCGGGAGCCGTTTGCTGAGCTGCTACGGCGGAAGCGATCTGCTGACCAGGTTGCAGGGCGCCGGGTTGAGTCCACGCGGTCGTGGCGCCGGTTGGCAACGCTTGCATTCCCATCCGCCTGTGGAACGCAATAATCGCATTAGAATCCTAGTGAACTTTAAACAATAACGTAGTAGTAATTTCAATAATTATTATTCAAAGTGTAAAGACAATTGTGTCTGTCAAACGGAACAACCGTTTCTCAAATTCGGATTTGTAATTTTTAGTATTTCACTTGAAATATCCACGTAACAACTCATATGGAGTCTTTCAATTAATTATCATCGAAATAGCTTATATGTAAAAAGCTTCTAAAAACGCGTGTAGTATTATAAAAGTTCGGCTATGTCAAGCGAAAGAATTCAAATTTCTTAAGTATTACTACCAATAACATACATTAGGTTCTACGGAAGTATACTTTAGATTTTACATAATATTAACTAACATATTTTAATTAATTTGGGTTCAGTTGCCAAAACAAAATATAATCAAACTATATTTACAAAGTCATTGTGTTAATAAAATTAACGCATAGGCTTAAACAAAATATTTTGAAAATAAACTTATATGTTTGACTTACCCTAAATAACCGGCCTGCTGGTAACCGAATTGACCATACGTATATCCTTGTACGCCTTGAAGAAATTGACCTTGTAATTGTGTGGCTGGGTAGCTCTGAGGATACCAGTAGCCCAATTGTTGGCCGTACGCAGCAGCCGTGTATGGGAACTGCGTGCTGCTCAGTGCCGCCTGATAAACGTCAAAAATGGCTTGTAAATAATTTTTAAAAATATGGTAATGCATTTTAGCGATTAAATGGAATTTGCGCTATTACGATATTTACCTGAGACGAGCAAACTTGAGACGTGTTTTGAGACACGATTGGTTCACCAGACTCTTTTCCCCACGAACATTTGACTGGTTGCCCATTGATGTCGGTATTGTGTACGGCTACGATGGCGTGAGTAGCGGATTCCTTGGTAGCAAACCTATAAAAAAATATATCAGTTAACGAGAAGTGCACTCGCATTACTCTTACACATCTGAACACATGAATAATACGTAAGCGCGCTATGCATATTGAATATCGCTGAAACATAGAGAGCTCCTTTAAAGTGCGTAGAGTCGGAAACAAGATATTTTGTTTAAATAATGGAAACACAAATGCATACGAAATACAGTCGAGTCGGGGATGCATTGTTGATGCGTTAACAATATTGGCCGTAGGAGATCTACGCCAGCAATGGCAGCAGCGAGAGGAGTCTTTTTACTCAAGAGAAAACCGTCTGGTACAGTCTTTTGCCCTCGAATACCCTTACTCACACTCAGTCGACGTTTCCTTATTCTTACTGCTCAGAATGCATTATATATTCCAGTTAGTAAACACAGTCGACCGACCTAAGCCTTCGTTACTGTAAATAACGGTTCTGACTTTATTAACCCCTACCGTTGCCGTTGCGGTATCTAGGAGACACGGTTGAATGAATAATTTAAATCTTTAACTAACCATTGGTCTGGAACTTTTTTGATTCCAATGAAAACATACTTTACCGGTGACCGTACGAATTTGTTAAATATAATTGATTAATTGTTTTATGAAAAGTCAATGTGGATTTTACATAGGTTATACGCAAAAAACACAGACAAAAATAGATAGCGGAATAAAGAAGTGATAACAAAATCGAATGATGTTCGGTTACTTAAATTGTTTTTTTCTTTTTTTGGATAATCATCGTTTGATGTGCTCATCGATTATGGTTATCGATTTATGTATAAAAATATTCTAATTAAATCAAAGTTTCATCTTAAGAGATTTCGGTTTAACCAAAATTATATATGATTATAGTTTGTATCTACTACAATAGCGGGATAATGTCCAATTATTCAAGAGTTTTGGTGAACGGCGAATGAAGTAGTTATAACATGTATCATATCTCTTATGAGCAATACATTTAGGGTACTAGGAAACGGGAAAGCCATAACAGTAAAACTCTCACTGCGTCTGTAATGAATTCCGTTTTCGTTTTAAATCAGTATTATGTTTGTTAATTTAATTAAGCCTTGCTATTTTGGCAGGATTTTAATGGCTAAACGTTAAAGGGGGGTTTTGTATAACGAAGAAATTTAATGTCCGATTACTTTTGAAATTATACTTAAGAAGGGTTTGTTAAATGTTTTTATTTTAATAGACTGATTAATAACATTATTTGTACCATTTTTAAAGTTAATTTAATGCCGAAAATTGTATAACTATGAACAATAGTCTTGACCAGATTATTAGAATGAAGTATATTATTGTATTAACATTGTTGTAACATTTGAACGATATTACAATCTATATTTTCGTAGAATTAGTACTTATAACATTAAAAAAACATAGTTAAATTTTTAAAAACACTATTTGCATGGTCACTCAGAATTTAAAAATAAAGTGAGAGAATTATTTTTGACGGTTTAATAGTTTTTTTTGTTAATAACCTTATGCAATATTGATAAATTATCGACTATATTATAAAATATTTCCAAGCTGAGAGAGAGCGACACCCTACATTAGTCTTTATTTCAGATAGTATCCGACTATAGTTTAAATACTATTTTTCCAATACACCTGATATGATTAATCTAACGAGAGCTTCGTACTTGAAATTTGTTATGTTTACATAAAATAATAAAAAATAATATACAACAGCTTAACTATTTATGAATATGCATGGGTTATAGATTTTTTTGAACTTGATACTTACCGAACAAATGCGTATCCCTTATCTTTAAATACCCGAATTTCCTGGATGTTACCAAATGGAGCAAATGTTTTTTGTATCAGCTCATCAGTAAGTCCACTGGTCAGCCCTCCACAGTACACAGTGCAATTGGTTGGACTAGATTGATTGTATACTTCGTCAAAAGTTAAAGGCTTGGTATTTGCTAAAACACAAAAAACAATAATTAATTAAGATTAATAGCTAAGAAAATATTAATTAATATTTAAACATTTTAACGAATGTTAATAACGTGATATTTTGTGTGATTTAATTTTAAAAAGGGAATGTTAAACAATGCCATAAACCATAAAAAATATACATTTTATACTAAAGTCTATTATATAAATTATGTTCGTAACACAACCTAAGCATATCAGCTCGTTGCAACTTTATTAAACTGACTCGTGTATGTGGAGTACTATAACATTTTTTATTATTTCAGCTACTAGATAAAATTTTGGAAATTATAGCAATAATAAATTGTAACCGCTGTTTATTTTTTTCTATCCAAATGTAAATTTTACATATTTCGATATTGTATTATTAGAGAAATTGATGTTTTAGTCTGATGGGTTATTAATTTTTATATTTTGTATAACACAGTACACACATGATTGCGGTTAGTGTGCTGTCGACACTAGATTCTTATGAGAACAAACGAGAAGTCGAACGCCTTCATCTTTATGTCTAATTCACTAACGTTTGTTTCTGGCAGAAGATAATTTCATCTACCCGAACCCCCCGGGGTACTTTGTTTTCGAGCATGCGCCAATGAGCACATGAAGGAAGCCATCAATGAAAGCATACTGTAGCTGCCTTTTTTAAACAAACAATAGATAATTGAATATTATCAAGTACTATAAAACAATTGGTATTTGTGGTACAGAATGCCGAGGGCCAACTTCTCGATGGCAGGAAAACAAAGTTGTATCCATCTACAATACACTAAATGTGCTCAGACACGCACCAATTAGCAAATTGACTGTGTGTAATAACAATAATGTTTGGCAAATTGTGAACTCCATTTACAAAAACTAAAAAACTTTCTATGCATATTTGCCAAGAATAATTGTCCATTTTAATTTTTGCCGTTTTTGGACACCGACTAAAAGTCACTAGTAACTTTAGTGTTTAATAACTGTAGATGGTTTTTCATCCCGCCCGTTTTTGTGGATAACATAATGCATATTTAAAATAAATGTTATTTTTCCACAATCCCCGTGCAGTATATTATTTTCAAAGATTTATAGGGTTGTAAAACTTCGGGGGTGTTCTTTAACTCGGAAATTTAAATTCCGTCGGGGGTGCTGCGATGGAAAACCAACGGTAAACAATACGCTACTATGAACATGTGTATGTGTGTGTATATACTTTCGGTTGGCTTTGGTGCAATGTTTTAAAACTTTTTTATGTACATTCTTTTTTTTTTTAGTAGGTTTGCCAGTGAATGTATGTATAGAGAATATTTTAAAATGCGATCAAACACTAGTGGTCAAAATGAGTGGAAAGGAAGTAATTGATTTTATGTTTTATTCTTACAACCATCTGATATTTATCTATGAGGCACAAATAAAGTTTAACTATTTATTAAACAAAAATCTCAACAGTTTTTTATGGAGAACTATTCGATTGTCAAAATGCGAACAACGCATATAATGAAAATGGAAAAATTAACTCGCATTCAATGGGTATTAACTTAAGAGATGACGAAAATATTGTTTTCTTAAGACTATAATATTATAATAGTCTTGAGGTGCATTTAAATAGATTATTTATACACACTTGAATACGAATAAATGTTGTGAATAATTATTCACTTAGTACATAAGAAATTGGATAGGTTTTAAATTGCACGTACTTATGCGTGTGATTATATGACACAAAAAAAAAATTCACTTATTATTGTAAGATTATTGTCAAGTAGGGCACTTTTAATTCATAATTTATACTTTGACAACGCCACCGCCGGATGATAGGAGGTGGGGTACAGACACCTAGACTGATTCTTATCCCTAGAGACATACAGTACTGGTTTGATAACGTTATACACAGAAAACGACCGACAAGTCATTCGTTTTATGTGAGTTATGTTTGATTTGCCACTATTGTTAGTATTTGCTGTATGATCTTTGTTGCATATTAGCCCATAGCCGTTTTTTATTGATTAATCACTTATGTGATTCACAGCATCCTTATCTCATTATTTAATCGCCCAGCGATTTTGTGTTCCCGTGCATATAGTGTATAGTAATCATCTTTATGATTCACCGTACTTCACCTTGATTCACCTTGTGGGTGAGGTGTCCTTACGAATGCGATTTAGTGTCATACAATCAATCTCAAAACTATAAACCAACTCTTTCATTGTTTGGACGGGCAATCGGCAGGTTTCAGGTAAATAAAATATATTATTTATTTAATGATGTTTTGTTATATTTTTGCATTGTGGTGATAAGTTAATTAATTGATATAGTTCTTATTTGTCTTATTTTTTAATACATAGTATTATTTTGATGTTTTACTGATCATCTTAAGTTTCTATTAGTTTTTAGGTGTCATATTTTTCTAGGTTAAGTCCTCTTATTAATCATTTCTCGGTAACAACAACTCAAGTACGCAAATAATCGCACCGAACGCGATTATTTTGAACACCCGGAGGGCAGTTAAATAGTTTTATAACAGCTAAACAATTTACTACTGAATCAATTTTATAAGTTCAAAAAATATTTTGTAGTTAATAAATTGCGATTGTAATGTCATTACACATTCTATTTTTATCGCATGCTATAAAAACAATAGATCGGAACCTAATTATTCATCACTAAACGAGTAATTTTAATTAATATTAATTTCCCTTGAGATAAAAGTGTTAATTATTGTAAAACATTAACATAATTTATCAAGATAAAGTGAAATAGATGGTTTGATACTTATATAGGTATCTAAATGGCTTTTATAATATATATTTATAAGCCATACATTCAATAATAATTAATAAACAAGGGTACAACTAAAATAAATATTAATTTCATTATTAAAACGCTTTATTAATGAACTTTGACTGTGGAAATTTTTTATTGTAAAATTTAATTAATGGTCATATTTACTAAGTGTTAGATTATAATTAATATAAGTATGTGAGGAAAAATTATTAGGTCAGCGTGAATACACTCACTGCAGTTAATTTTGAAAAGTGTTATTTCTTTAAAATTTTTATAGAACGGATACTCATATAATTTCGATCAGTTAAATCGTCTTTTTAATTGTATGCTATCTATTTTGAACTGCTTAGTTACGAATTAGCGATTATGAAACTTTAAGTTTTGTGTACTTAACAATAAAAATAACAACTTTGGAAAAATGCTTAAGAGCAAGTTGAAAATTTCAATTTTCTCTCAAGTACATTTAAGAATAGTATATTTATTACACGTAAAATAGTTTTCCAGTCATAATTAAATAAAAAGCTTATAAAAGTTTTGGTTACACGTATATTAAAAAATATAAAATTATGGTAATAAATAACATTTGTCTAGAGAATTTCAGGTATTTTTCCCTGTACGTAGTTAATTTATTGCAATTTATAGGAGTTCCGCAGCATTTATGACTTTGTTAAATTAGAGTTAAACTAAATAGATTCGAAAATATAACACTTGTGTGTATAGATAGTAACTATGATATATTTTGTATACAATTTGATTGATTTTACATGTTAATCAAAAATATCTTTTTTTTCTTAAATCTATTTAATTATCAATGAATTTTGGTAAAAAACTTGTTCGTAAAAAAATAATAATTATTTTTATTGATATTATAAATCATGAATATTTTGTCTTATTTAGTATTTTACAATATCATTCGGCTCAATATTTAAGTTTGAATATAATCTCACTAGAATTTATTATTAAGTTTCAATATTATATTATAAACCTAAAGATATTAAAAACACGCGTTTGTTAATTTTCAGTGTTTGTTGAGTTTATAGTAAGTTTTACGACAGTTTCATAAACCAACGAGTTTTGTATATAAATCTGTAGGGAGTTGCGTAAAATTTAAAGATGACTGAGTGTTTTATAATGTATCTTTCACTTAAGAATATATTTTCACTATAAAGTTTGCACTGAATGCATCACCGTCATGTCTACCTGACTACATTTTTAAATTAACTATCCAATAAATTTTTCACTCGTATTATATTAGATATAAAAATATATTTCATAGAAGTTGTCCCGGAACTGAAAGTTTTATGTTCAAGTTATTTTTTTATCTATACTAAAATATATGAATTTGTGAAATAATAACTATCAATTTTAAAATTATCTTACAGTATTTAATTTATTTTAAATGTTTGTTTAAAATGAACTGAATGTTTAAGTTTTCTGAACGTTAATTCATTACTTAATAATGATTTTAATAAGAAAATTAATTATTTATGCAAGTTTTCTCTGAGATTTTGATAACAATTTTTTGTTGACGGTTGTACCTAGATAAAATGTTTAAATGGAAAAAATATATAATATTCGTGAATAATGATTAATCATATTGAATAGAATGGTTTATTTTATTTAAAAAAAATCTAAAAAAAAATATATAAAATATACAGTTTATTTTGCAGAGTAATTCTATTTTACCTACTTAAAATCTGAGTGTTTTTTTCCCATATATTTATTTTAAAATTTAAAATGTGTGACTTAATATAATAATAAATGATAGATAAGAACCGCGATTCATTACTGAATAGTCTAATTAAACAACACAAATTAATTCAAGTTGAATTTTTTTTCTACATTGACATATATAAAATGAAAGAAAATATACAATGATTTTTAAGATTTCAAATTAGTTAAAAAGAGTAGAAAACGATTGTTTTTGATTACTTTGATATTTTTCCCGTGCAATTTTCAGTAGAATGTTAAGTATAATAAGATCAAAAATGAATGTATTGAATTAAAACGTTAAGAGTATTGTAACGATATTTTTAGCCAACAAAAAATATTTTACTTGCGGTGATTCTAAAAATGAAAGTCGATATTGCTGTGAAATCAATCGCCCTCCTCGTGTACTTTACAGGTCGCAAATGGTGTTCAGTATTAAAATAATAATTGACAGGAAGCCTAAACGAGAAGTGTACATTATTACCCAACCGTAGAAGGGCACCGTACCTAA